CATTGGTTCAAGACTCAAAAAGCTTTTTTTATGTGCTCACACTTCTATTATAGTATCTACTCTTTGAATTAATAAGCTATTAAGCTTATTTTCAATACTTGAACAAATTCATTTTTTATACTTCCTATATATAAATACTTATAAATATAAACATATGTAGAAATTTTTTAAAAAGAATTTATTCATTTCCTTTAAATAAGCAAAACATTTTAGCATCTCCTTTCCATTCCCTAACAATTTCCAGGATCTAAACGTGGCCATAGTGTGCCTAGTGGGGAAATTTGGTTAAAAAGGTGCAAATATGAAGTATCAATGTCCTCCTAACTGTAGTTTCTGAGACACATCATCAACCATAGATAATGGCCAATTGGCAAACACAGTGTGTAAAGAATACAACAATATACAAGGCTTAGCAAGATCCACAACTTAAATAGTGAAGTATATACTAGATAAGGCATATGATGCACATTATTAGTCATAGTTTCAATAATATTATAAGTCATAGAACATGCATGGGTTGTGTTCCTATTATCATACAATACCACTAGAAAACAAAAATCAACCATTAGTGGTTAAAAATGAATTTACGAAGCAAAGGTCTTTAAATAATAATTTAACTGGAGGAAAGAAATGAGGAACCAAGCATAGGGCCATGAAAGCATACCTATACTCAAATCTTCACCTGCAGAAACTCCATCCGGATCAGATTTCTTATTTTCTGTAAGAAAACATGCCAAAAAAATCTTATTATTTTAGTAAGAAAAACCAGTACACCTTGCAAAAGTAAAAGAGAAACAAGAACACACCAAAGTAGGAGAATAGCTTGTGATTTGACATGTATGATGATACATCAGTTCCTTCTACTCTTTTTCTTTTCCTCCTCTTTACGGCTTTCTTCTTAATTCTTTGATGAATGTATGGTATTGCTTTTGATCCTGACTCTTGTAGCAGGATTTGATCAAATACCTGATGTTTTTCCCTGTTGAATGCAGACATCTCCCTGTCATACTTTCGTGCCTGTGACTTAAACTCCTTTAGTTTCACTTCTACCCATTTGCATCTCCACATTAAAGGACTTATAAAGTTTCTCCAGTGACTGGTCAATTTTTTCTTCCTGATGAAAAATGAAGCTTTGATCACCACTCTAAATGAGAACACATTTACAAGCTGAGGTAATATAAAAATATTGAACCTTGTGAAATTGCCTGTAAAGTGCAAATTAGATAAAATTCTAGGCTCAATTCTTAAGTAACTATCAAATTAGAATACCCAGAGAGCATAAATTCATCACTTTCACAGACCACAGAAGCATAAATAGTGGTGCTTTACAACATTAATAGGGAGTATATATAAAAGCTTTAAAAAATACCTCATGGGGAAAAGACTTCCAAATCCATCAAACGGAGAACCCAACTCGCTTTCACTGCAAAAATGGGAATCAGCTTCGGCATCACTGGGGCCGGAAATGTGGTCGTTCAGAGACGTGGAGTCGGCAAATGAGCTTGAGTATTCTGTTTCATCTGGATCTTCCTTCATAAGAATTGCGGGCACTCCGCTTCTTGCATATCCCGTCACATCAACAGCAACGCCACCCTCTTCAGAAGAAATTGCGGCTTTGTTTTTCTTATCAATTTTAGCTTCCATATGTGAGGTTCTTAGGCTCAATCCACTTCCTCTTACTCATTCCATAGCATTCCTTGCATAATCATAAGAGATAGTGGCGGAGAGAGTGAGGGTTTTACTTCAAAGCCAGACCGAGATATTAATTCATGGGCCGAAAATTAAATAAGCTGGCCCGTAAACGGTTATCCGTTTTTGGAATATTCGAAGGGAGTGTTTGCAACTGATTAAAAAAAACGCTTTTGGAGATGTAAGGAAAAAGTGGTTAGTAGTAAAAGTTGATAGTGTTTGAGAAAAAAGTGATTTTGAAAAGTAAAAGTTGGTAGTGTTTGGTAAAATAAGTACTTTTTGTGTAATAGAAAAGGGAAAAACACTTTTCACACGCAAGCCGAGAAAAAGTAAAAATTGGTAGTGTTTGGTAAATAAGTGCTTTTTAAAGCCAAAAGCTGAGAAGTGCTTTTTTTTAAGCGGTTGCAAACACTCCCTAAGAAATATGCCTATGTTGTAAAACCCGGGTCGGGAAGCGACCCGGTCGAATGACTAGGTCACGGGTCAACCCGGATCCAGCGGGTTAACCCGGTCAATGCTGGAAAACTTGATCAACATAAGTATTAAATTATTATTTTAAGATATACAAGTTTTAATAAAATACTCTGTATTAAGTTTTTCTAGTAAACAAAAATTAAATTAAATTGACTATATTAAATTTTAACCAAATACTTCGTATTAAGTTTTAACAATATTAAAGCTGAAATGAATTAAGTTTTTCGAGTAAAAAAATAAAAATAAAATGTATTTTAAATTAAATTGACTATAAATACAAATACGATGCCTATTAAAAAATTTTAATGTTTTATAAATACTTTCAGATATTATAATAATAATAATAGTACATAGTTTTTTTAATGTTGTTATATTTTATTATGATTAATTTTATTATCATTTAACAAGTACTCCGTACTATTTAGCTTTTAATGTATTGACTGAAACACATACAGAGTATTAAATCCAATTAAAAGCCAAGATTAACTGACAACGTAGTGCAGTTCGTTGGTTTGGAGGCTGGCTTTTCACGCCGTAGACCCGAGTTCGTATCCCTTCGTGTGTATTTTTGCACATGATTGCGGGAACCACGTATATTTCGGGTTTGGGCCGTCCCGCTTATGGTCCGGGTATGGCCGGTCAACCAGGTAAATCCGAGTTCTCCGAGATTAGCAGTTTGATGAGTTACCAAATCGGATTGGACTTCGGGTGACCGGGTTCCGGGTCGATCCGCCCGGTCCGATTCGGGTCTTAAAACCCGATTTAAAAAGATGAAGTGCATATACTTATTTGAAATTTGTTTGATAATTATTAATTTATTTAAAGAGTAATTAGCCATTTAGAGTGCCTGAATTGTAAACCGAGACCCATAGTACAATTATATAGTGGGCCGGGATCGAATGGATTAACATATTTTTTTAGAATAATTTTGGGTAAATGATTCAATAAAACCTTTGGTCTACTTAATTTATGCAAGAAGGATCATGATTTATTGGGCAAGGTTTAGCAGCACGTTGGGCTGAATGATTTATTACTAAATTTCTAGGAGATAAACTCAGTTGTTTAGTGTTAATTGAGTACACTCAAACACTCAGTAGATTAACACATTAATATGGTTGAGTCAGGATAGGATCTATGTGTGGGTTATGGTGGGTAGAAGCTTAGGGAAACTTAATTTTTTCCCCAATTTTTTATTGTATTTTTCCCCTCATTTTTCATATTTAGCTACCCCTATAATATTTAAGCATAGTATAATAGTTGTTTGGCTTAAGGCATCCCAAATTCCTAGATCCGCCTCTGGGCTGAGTTGGCTAACAGAATGCAAATAGCGCGACTTCTTCTTGAAGGCGATGACACGATGCCAACTCCCCGCAGGTCGATGCCCTCCGCGAGTCGATGACCTGAAGGTTGACGACAGAACCTTGATCGACTTCCCCTTTTTGGTCAACTTTCTGAAGGTCAACGCCAGAAACTTGGTCGACTTCCCTTTCTTCCTTAGCATTTCATTAGCCAACTCATTCATATTAACGTGTTAATCTAACGAATGTACTCAATTAACATAAAAAACCGAGTTTATGTATTTTTTAGTTTTTATGAATGTCAACTCATTCATATCCCTTTCTATGAATGTCAAATGCAATATACTTTACTTTTTATTACACTTTATACAAATTGATGTACTCAATTGACCCTTTTATCAAATTTCTAGTAAAAGAAAGGCAAAAAAGGATAGATATGTTTCACCTGGAAGCTTAGTAATGTATTTAATTGGACAATAATTTTTTGGTGTTGCCTTTTTAAATCTAATTCGGTCTAGTCTTTCTAAATCTAATCCGGTCTGATCTTATTTGAACTGGTTTGATTTGGTGAATATATTTCTATGTATATTTTACAATTGTCAAAGTTTGGTTGATTCTCATCTAGTTTGATCTGATTTTATATTAGTTTGATCTAGAGAAATGATTCCCACTAAAAACATTCCAAAGTGATTTCACATATTAATTGCATAGCAATCAAAATCATTTAAATTGAAATTATATTTCTATATTTCTTTTACTTTTCTTATACAATTAATTTTAATTTTCAAATATAGAGGCCGCTTGGCAACACTGTTTTTTGGCTTATCAGCTAACTTTTTACCAAACACTTAACTTTTTTGCTTTCGCGCGTTGAATTGTGTAATAATCATCTCCTTTTAATTTTCAAATATAGCGGCCGTTTGGCAACACTGTTTTTTGGCTTATCAGGCGTATCAGCTAACTTATTTTATTAATCAAATATATTTTAAAAATAATTTTTTCTTAAATCAGCAGAATCAGCCAATGCAGTCGGTTCAGTCAGAACTTCATAAATTATAACAGAATCAGCCAAGACAGCCGATTTTCATGCTACCTAACGGGCTCATAATTGAAGTGTTGAAGTATGGATTTACCAATACCACTGTGCACATGGGTAGGATCGAGAACAATTTTGTTCACCCTCATTTGAGAGGGTTATGTTCACCCCCACCCCTATTTGTCTGCCATGTGGCAAGACAATACTTTACAATTTGACAATTGTTTTATCTTTTTCTTTTTTAATCAATTTTAAAAAAAATATATATCAAAATTTTTCTTTTTTTACGATCTTTCATATGGTACTAATATTGCATATAATAAAATTAAAAAACAAATCAACTAAAAATAGATATTTGGAAATAAATGATTTTTTTTTCAAATTTTTATATATACAAAATTGATACCATTGGAAAGATCATTAAAAACTAAAAAATCTGATATGTTTTTTATAAAAAAAAAACTACAAATAAAAAAATTATAACATTTTTTAAAAAAAATGGGATGGAATGTCACATGGCAATCATAGAGCAAAGGAGGTTATGTTCACCCTCCTTAGTGGGGGTGGGGTGTACAAAATTGCACTAGGTAGGATCTCCTCCCAAATTTGCCCAAAACTAGACAATTTGACCTAATCCAGCTACAAATCTAAAAAGAACGTAGGCCTGAGCTGTATTCGAAGATTGACGGAAAGTGGGTTACGCCCCAAAGTCCAAACTTCCAGCAAAGCCATGACGTCAGGAGTTCTTCTTCGTCCCCAATAAAACTGAACACTTATTCGTGTATATATATATCGATCGAAATACGACTCTATCTCATTCATATATAGCCCACCTCATCCGCAGGTAAAATAAACTAGATAGCGTTGAAGTTAGAACGAGAAAATGAAAGGAGGTATAGAGCTGGTTTTCATTCCCGCCCCTGTAATGGGCCACCTTATCTCCGCCATCGAAATGGCGAAGCTCCTCCTTCAGAAACGCGGCAGATATGATCTCTCTATCTCTTTATTGATCATGAAACCTACCATGGATGCCAAGCTCAGCTCTTATGTCGAATCACTTCTTGCAGCCCACGAGGAACCATCTTCGTCCAGACTGAAGTTCGTGCTTCTCTCTGCTTCGAAGGCGACGGATAACACTAAAAATACCACATTTTTTCATTCCTTCACCTCCTTCATCGGATCTCACCAGCAAAGCGCTAGTAAAATCGTAAGCGAAATCCAAACCCGTACGGGTTCGGGCGGTACAAGGCTCGCCGGCATTGTGGTCGACATGTTCTGCGTAGGCATGATGGACTTGGCCGATGAGTTCGGCATTCCGGCGTATGTATACTACACCTCCGGCGCCGCCATGCTCGGACTTCATCTCCATCTCCAGAGTCTCAAAGACGACTACGGAAAAGACGTCACCGAGTTCAAGGAGTCGGACCCGGATCTGGAAATCCCGACTTATTCTAAACCTTTTCCGGTAAAGCTTCTACCAGCTGTTACGCTGGACAAGACCGACGGCGTTGCGGACTTGTTTTCGGATATTGCAAAGAGAATCCGGGGGGCGAAGGGCATATTGGTAAACACGTTCCTCGAGCTTGAAGTGCACGCACTCGAATTTCTGCGCCAAGAAGAAGGGAGGGTCCCACCTGTGTACCCGGTGGGGCCCGCACTCAACTTGCAAGGCAAAAAGAATGGAGAATCTGGCGAAGAAATCTTGGAATGGCTTAACGGTCAACCGGATTCTTCGGTGGTGTTCCTCTGCTTCGGAAGCGAGGGCAGTTTCCCGGATCCTCAAGTGAAGGAGATCGCCCACGCGCTCGAGCGCGGCGGCCAGAGGTTCCTGTGGGCCCTGAGGAAGCCGCCGCCACAAGGGGCGATCCACCCCACCAACCTCAATTACCCGGAGGACGTACTGCCGGAAGGTTTCTTGGAAAGGACGAAAGACATCGGAAAAGTAGTCGGATGGGCTCCGCAAGCCGCCGTTCTAGCTCACCCCGCCGTGGGGGGCTTCGTGTCGCACTGTGGGTGGAATTCGACTCTGGAGAGCGTCTGGTTCGGAGTTCCAATGGCGACTTGGCCAATTTACGCAGAGCAGCAGGCGAATGCGTTCCAATTGGTGACAGATATCGGGATAGGGGTGGATCTTAAGTCGGATTACAGAATACCGAAAAGTTCTGAAAAAGTTCTGAAGACAGTGGAAGCAGAGGTGATAGAAGCTAGCATCAGAAAGCTGATGGACCACCCTTCGGCTGCGAGGAAGAAAGCGGAAGAACTTAGAGACAAGAGTAGAGAGGCGGTCGAGGAAGGTGGCTCGTCCTTTAACTCTCTTCAAGCTTTCCTCCATGAATTAAGTCTTTAACAACCTCTAGTACTAGCTAGAGACTGAGCTGTCTCACATGTTGGTTTTTTATTTCATGTTATTTTCCCATTAATTTCCAATAATGTCTAACTTCATACATGTTTTAAGGGTTGTCTCTGAAAATGGAGATGTTGATAGGCCCTTATATCCTTGAATAAATGATCTCTCCTAGCGAACTATAGGGCTGGGAAATGGTTGCAAATAGGACCGGAACTCTTGGTAGATACTTAAATAGGACTTCAATGATTTTAACTCCCAAATAGGACTATTTTTTCCCATGTGTCCAGATTTACCCCTAATTTCTTTTGCTATCTCCGTGTCTCACCTCATCATCTTCCCCGCCTCTCGATAAACTCCTACCGGCCACGCTTCCCTATCAACAACACGGCAAGTCTGCGACGCGGTATGATGACACAGTGAGTTGAGGCAGCGGCGTCCGCACAATGACGCGGCAGAGGCATCACAGCTACTTGGCGGCGGCACAGCAACGCGGCGGCAACACAGAGGCAGAATTAAATCCCTACTTAGGGAGTGTTTGCAACTGCTTAAAAAAAAGCACTTCTCAACTTTTGGCTTTAAAAAGCACTTATTTACCAAACACTATCAATTTTTACTTTTTCTCGGCTTGCGTGTGAAAAGTGTTTTTCCCTTTTCTATTACACAAAAAGCACTTATTTTACCAAACACTACCAACTTTTACTTTTCAAAATCACTTTTTTCTCAAACACTATCAACTTTTACTATTAATCACTTTTTCCTTACATCTCCAAATGTGTTTTTTTTAAGCAGAAGCAGTTGCAAACACTCCCTAAGTCTCCTCCTCCTCCTCCTCCTCCTTATTCTTCCTTCTTATTTTCTTCTGCGTTGCAAGCATGCTCTGTTTTTTGTTTTTGCAACATGAAGCTGTTAGATCTACTATTTGTTTTTTTTTCTCATATGTTAGTATGTGTCAATTTGTTTGCCAATGATTTGAAGAAAGGGATTTTGGACATTACCCGTTGACAATGCTATATATTTATAGCATTATTTACACATTGTGAATTTTACTTGACATTGTAATCTTTCTTTTGAAATTGTGTCATTTTTTTCACATTTTATCATCTACTCTTTATTTTACAATGTTTACAATACCGTCACATTGTTCTAACAGTATCATTTTTTATTGCATTGACATTTTATTACTCCCTAACATCTTTGTTTACAATGTCATTTTTATTGCATTGGTATTGACATTGTAACATTTTTTTGACATTGTAACATTTTTCATTCTTTTTGCAAATACTGGAGAACAGGGGTGCTGACACCGGCTCACGTGCTAGTTGCGCAAGCGAGTTCCAGTTGTGATTTTATCTACAACATTGGAACGTAGTTTGGCACTTGGGAAATCGGTGACGACGGTGGTGATCGCTGAAATTTTGATAGTGATTAATGTTTGACGGTGGAGTTTGGACGATTCAAGTTTGGTGTTTGTTATTTTTCAAGTGTAGCTTGTAGCTGGTTTTGAATTTGCCATAGTTAGTAAATCATTCCTTGTTTATGATCTTTTATTAGTAATTTTAGCAGAATTCTTTCTTTTGTAATCATTGTCATTGAAATTCTATGACATTATTTTCGAAACAATGATATTTTGCTACATCGATAGTAATGTACTCTTATAACATTGTCATACAATGACATTGACTTTAAATAATGACATTAATTATCTCACATTGTCAAATAATGACATTGGTTTTTAAGCATTGTCTACAAGCGCCGCAAGCTTATTTAATTTCCGTCCGGCCCATCTATTTTTATTCGAGGCGCTTTGAGCTAGAAGCGCCACACGTGAGGTTCATATATATATTTTTTAAAAAACGTAAATGAATTGGAGGCGCTTTTGAGTAAGAAGCGTCGCACGGCTCATTAGTTTTTAGAATATAAATATAATTCCGGAATATTTTAGAGGCGTTTTATCATAAGAAGCGCCGCACGATTCTATAAAAAATATTGAAAAATAAAATTTCGACAAATAGAGGCGCTTTAACTTAAAAGCGCCTCTAACGAAGCGCCTCTGTTTGGCGTTTTTCCACTAGTGTTAGCAATGACATTGGTTTTTAAGCATTGTCATATAACTAGTATAGTACCCGTGCGATGCACGGGTGACTACATTTACTGATGTGTTATATATTTACTTAGGAATATTATAAAAATATTCAAAAGTGAAAATAAATAATAATGATCAGAAACAAAAAATATTATTCTCTTACCAACCGTAAAAGACTTTAATTGCTACATATATTTACCGAAAGGTAATTTAATCGCACTTCGTATCCTGAATAGTGTAATTAGTAACACCGAAGGTAATGTAATCGAACTTGATATCCTATATAGTTGTTCCAATAAATACTTGTGCTTTAATTTCTTAAAGTTGAAACACGATCATTCACAATAACTGCATTAAGATTATGGCCTCTTGTATACTATACGAATATTCAAAGACAATATCACATCTAAGAAAACATTGTTGTGAAAATGGCAATGGCTTCCCATCGATCTCTTACGGCTTTCTTTGTTGCATATCATTTGGTAAAAGAAGAAAAACTAATAATGATAGATTGATACAATTATTCTGTGGCTGATTGATAATCCATGCTTTCAGCTCCTATATAGATAAGTATTATTCATTCACTAATGTTAACTCTGATTTTTCATACAGATTTTAACTATATATGGCACCCTTTTACAACACAACAATACATGCAGATATATAAATGGTATGTATTTAGAAAAATAATTGTGTGCTTTTTAATGAATTTCAAACGTCAATGGATGATTAAATTAATGCTTTCAAAATTACAATTTAACGTTTTAGGCAAATAATCTGCGCAATAGTCTATGGATAATTTTGATACCTAGACATCTATTAACATTAATTTAATTTCAACACTTGTTTTTTCTTAATTTATCACTCAAAGATGGAAATCAGGGTTCTTAGCTTAACACAATTTAAACATTTTGTGATACTTATCACATTTATCCTAATAATTACTTTTTTTATTTTATGGAAAAAGGTAGTTCTACTGATATTTTTATTGAAACAATTTCCATCATTTAATACATGCTTTTTTTACAAATGAAATATGAAATTTTAAAAAGGAAGAGAAATATCCTCAAAAAAGGAAGAGAAATACGTACTCCGTAAGATCTAATGCATTGTTTGCAAAAAGTGAAAATTTGGCAGTGTTTTGCTTCATTTTCCGGCAACTTTTTAATTTTTTAAAGTATGTTACAACATAAATTGAGTTTTGGACTAAAGATGATTTTGTTTATATTTTGTGGACTAATTAAGAAGACATTTTCATCAAGCCGTGTAACTACATCCTTATTTTGATAAATGGTTTTAACTTTTCTATTCTGAAATGATAAATCTTTAAGTCATGTGCAAGTACCCATAGCTTTTTTGGAAGAACATGCCATATGTAACGTTCGAGTTACCCTTAAATTCTTAAATGCGTTATGGATTAAAACAATAAAGTTGAAATGTGAAGAACTAATAACCTATGAGATCACTGATGCTAGTTAACTAAAATGATAAATTCAGCCACTCCATATATTCGAATTTGTTAGAATACATGGCCTCAAATTATGAGCCCGTTTGGAGACCTCTGTTTTCGGCTTATCAGGCTTATGAGCCAGCTTTTTCACCAAACACGTAACTTTTACTTTCGCGCGCTGAATTGTGTAATAAGCAGAAAAAGTAAGGTTGGAGTTACTTTTCTGGCTGTATTGGCTGAAGTTACTGTAGATGACCATTTTAGCTATTTTTACATATAATTTTTTCTTTATTTTATTAATAAAATATATTTTTAAAATATTTTTTTCTTAAATCAGCAGAATCAGCCAAAACAGCCACTTCAGCCAAAATATCATAAATTTCAGCAGAATCAGCCAAAACAGCCAATTTTGGTGCTACCAAACGGGCTCTATGTATAAACAATGTATATGAATGTTCAAAATTTTTGGTTAAAGGTCAACAAAACAGAGTTAAGAACCCATTGAAGAATTATACGTCCGTTTCAGGTTGTCTTTTTTTTTTTTTGAACCGACGTCCGTTTCAGGTTGTCTTAAAAATGATAAAAATACAAAGCTAAATAGAGGCACGAAATGGAAATAATCGATATAAAGGAGTCTACATACTTTCTGTCATACTCATACTCATACTTAGTGAGGAATACCAATCTCATGTGTTTGTATGGCAGGAGTTAGCAATCCTAATTGCTAATTACTATAGAGTAATAAAAAAAAGAAGTGAATAGTTTATAAGATCAAAGAAATCAAACGTTTAGATTCATTTTTTCATAACTTCAGACGTTGTCAACATCGTACCTTTATCCTAGAACTTTCAATAACACTATGATATAAAATAAATCTGATTTAGACCATATTTTAAAAATAAATACAACAAAACTGGTCAAGTAACTCAAGAAGACCTTAAAAAAACCGTTTTACTTTTTTTTAATCATAAGAACCGTATTTACTTTAATAAGCTCTTCAAAAATTGGACCGCAATTGCTGCTCTGAAAAGAAGCTTTTGCTTGATTAGGATTGCTTTTCTTCGTTGCAAGCGTGGGTTGGACACCGAACGATGATCTATACTATGGCAGATATAAATTTATAGGCAAATATTGGAATTTCAAAAGTCAAGCTTTATTATGTAATTTTTTATGTACTTTGAAACCTGGTATAAAAAAAAGGACTTTGAAACATGAATTTGGAATGCTACATATCCTTAATTGGCAGTAACAAACTGCCGGGCAACTCTTACGGGAATTCCAAAAGGCACAAATTACAGCTTATTTATGATATTTAGCTCTTGAATATTGTGCTTGCACAACCATCAATAAGTGTATCCCTTTTTTTGTTGTCTAATCTCGGTTCTCGATCACGTGAGACACTATTTTATTGCAATACTGTTCCCCAAAAAGTGCTACAGTGTTTCCTCCCAAACTCTCCCTCTCACTATTTTGTTTATTATAAATACTTTTGTTTAAATACAAAAATGTCAGTTTCTTGAATCTTTTCTAGTATTTAGTATGCATTTTCTTGTATTTTTATGAACATTTCATATGAATTGACCAGTGTGATAATATCTACTAATTGCAAAATTTGTCCAAATGATTCGGCATTTATTTGGCATTGTACCGAACCGTTTTGTACTTTTCCGAAACGACATAGTACCGAATGATTCCACCCTTAGAACCGGACCGTACCGAACCGTTATAAACCTTACGGGTACATCACGGGTTTCGCTAATTTACCAGACCGTTCCGGACCCGCCCACCCCTACTTCTGTTACATAGAGTTTGTACATTGATTTACTATATTAAAATCTACATTTTTAATAGAAAACAATAATGATATTTAAAAAAAAAAAAATAAGTTAACGGAATAACGGATACGATGAACATGTTCCTCTCGATCATAAATCTCTCTCTCATCAAATACACATTCAAAGCACCTGATTAATTTGGACTTGAATATGCAAGCACGCAAGACCAAAAACACACTCTCTTTAACTAATAATGGTTATAATATGAGAGCAGCTAATATGATCTTCACACATGTGGAAGTTTGTCTCGTTAACCAAAACAAATTAGTCTCGTGCAAGCAAGACCAAGGAACACTTGATTGTTTTTTTTTTACATAAAAAACCAAAACAAATTTCCCCAGCTCACTCAATTGTACATTGTATATTGGTAAGATCATTTTTAGCAATTATATAAGTGTTTGCCGTAATGAAAAGAATACAAAAGTGACATGTTTGTCTAAGTTGGATTGAGACACCTGGTTGATTACATAACCGTCGCCTTGGGCATGAGAATATAGCAGCCTTAGCTTTTATCGGCCCCAGAAATCTAAATAATCAGCAACCAATTACAGTATCAACCAAAAACAGAGATCCCAGAAGTTGAAAGAAGAAGTAATTGAAGCAGAGGTTCAGTTTTACTTTAAAGTACACATCAAATTACAGGCACCAAGGAACACAAATGAGGTCGTTTATATACTACACAGTACACACGTTTAAATAAGTTCCACAGCAGACTCCAAGAATATGTCATTTAACTAAGGTTAATTAATGCATTAGATAAGCCATAATGCTTCTCGGTGATTCCAAAAGGCATAGGCGGTGCCCCAACTATGATTCCTTTTAAATATAGGGAGTCTCGGCTCCATTTAATATTATTTTGGAAGCCCTTACCGCAGCCCCTCCCCCACGCCCGCCCCACTATTTTCTTGTACAATCTTTCCCGCCCAAACTCTATTGCCACTATTTTGTTATTATATATATAGATATAGATGACATTGGTTCTCATAATGTCATTTATTGACATTATATTACATTGTCATACAATATTATTGGTGTTGGGATATATTATCCCGGCCTATTACTGTTCAGGAGTCCAAGGCTTTACGTAGTACGGAGCCCGAGCAGCTAGGCCCATTTCGGCCCATCCGGCCCACTTAGGCCATTTGGGCCCACTCCGGCCCATGCGGCCCATTAGGGTGGAGAGCTTCCCTCACCCCTTTCCCTATTTATAGGAGGTTTTCCCTCCATGTAGAGGAGGCTTTTGCTTCTTCCTTTAGCTCTAGATTAGAGAATACTCCATAAATGGAGCTCAAAATGTACTATGTAATGGTGAGGAGAGTCCTAATGAGAAAGAGATGGCTTGGACATTAGCCTGAAAAGTCCCGTGGTTTTCTCCCTTTCCGGGTTTCCACGTAAAAATAGCTTGTTCATACACATTTATACATATATTTACTATATCGTGTTGGATTAAACTCAACACTGGCGCCGTCTGTGGGAATCTGTCCAAAAAGATTCGTGTGTTCTACTGTTCTTGAGTTCTACAAAAAATTCATACGAGTGGACTGATTCCAACAAAGAAAAAGCATTCTGGAAAGCAAAATAGGAGGAAGAAGATTCTGGGAACGAGGAAGAAAATTTCTGAGAAAATGATTCTGGAAAATTGCAGATCGGGGATGGAACTGCCGGAGCCGCCGGAATCGCCGGAACCGCCGTCATCATTCCCGCCGCCATGAAACCTTGGGCGAGTGTACGCGCGCTGGATGGAGCTCGCGGCAGCGCTCCATTTGTTGATCCCGGCTTCTGGTGAAACGCCGCCTGCAACGGAGTCGCTCGTGGCCAGCATCTGGTTTCACCGACCACCGCCTGAGTCGTCACACCACCTGGTCAGCCGCGGCTCGAACCTCCACCGGACATCCTGTTCTGCCGACGCGAGGACCCGCCAACTGGGAGTTCTTTGATCTCTGCCATTAATGGGGATTTGGAGCTCGGGGAGGGTACTCTCAAAGCTCGAGTAGCAGACCTCCCACCGAACCAGACCATGTGGTCATCCTTGCTCTGCTGCAAGCGTCTGTACCGCCGTCATTTGTCCTTGGGTTGGGAGCCGGAGTTTCAGCCAGCTTTCCTAAGGTGCGGGGTGTTGCAGAATCGCTCAAGAGCCTTGGTCCTCATAAGGCCACGTGAGTAGGATGAATGGTGGCGGATGGATAAGTTTGGGAGCATCTTGACTAAGTCAACTAATTCCAGAAATTCCAACTGGCCGAACATCTATTCTTAGAGCTAAGTGCTCTTACTCCTGCTCTTTAATTAAAATGCTCCATAATACGATCATAGATGCTTTTGTTGACCATCACCATTATTTAACAGGGGTTAAATACCCCGAAATTAAATAATGTCGAGCAAAGCTCAGATGAGTAAAGCTCTAGTGATAATTAATTCCACCGTCATTTAAATTTAATGACTGGTTGTTGGTGGGCCCGATTAGCCCACTCCCGATCGGCTTTAATTAGCGAACGGGGCATATCTGAATGACTTATGGTAGGATAATACTATTATTACTACCCGTGCATCACTATTATTTATTAGGGATAAAAATGTCCCGAAATTAAATGATGCAGAGCGAAGCTCTAGTAATAATTAGTTCAGCCAACTTTTTTATTAAAAATTTAATTGTTGGGGGGTTCGATTAGCCCACTCTTGATCGGCTTTGATTAGCGATCTGAGCGTCTCCAGAGGGTAGTGTCCCAATGACGCGTTTCAATTTGGGGGTTACGCAATAGTCCGCACGGCACCGAGTGCTCGAGCGACGATAGTACCCTAGTACCACCTGCGCCACTAGGCGAAGTGACTGTGCCAAACGCGGCCTGTGGGGCCCGAGGGCACCGAAGCGCTCAAACTCGTTGTTTTTGAGGGCAATGCGACCAACTTGGGTCTGAGTTTTCAACTCACAGACCAGTGATTATCCCTATGTGACGTTCGGCGGGCTGCTAATTGGCCCCGCCGCGAGCTCCTACGTCCATTAACCCCGCACGATGAGCCGGGCCGAGGGTCACGATGACCCATAGGCCGGTAATCGTGGGTGTTAGAGAGAAGGCCATGTAGATGGTTATGTGTGCATATTTATTGTCGGGCCGTGCGGCCCGTTATCATGCTTATTGCGCAGCTGAAGCCACTCGACGCGCTTGAGCGAAATGATTAGAAGACGCTCGGCCCGAGTCTTGAAGACGTGCAGGGCCGGCTAAAGAGGAGACCATCACGGCTGAGGACCGTGAGACGAGCATCTCCACCTAGAGGCCGAGGGCCTAGAGGAGACCACCACGGTTGAGAACCGTGGGACGAGCATCTTCACCCCAGAGACCGATGGCCTAGGAGAGAACACCTAGAGGCCGAGGGTCTAGAGTGGACTACCACGGCGAAGAACCGTGAGACGATCATCCATCATCCAGAGGCCGAGGGCCAAGAGGAAACCATCACGGCTGAGAGCCGTGATACGAGCATCTCCACACCAGGAGCCGGTGGCCTAGAGGAGACCACTACGGCCGAGGGTCGTGGGACCATCCTTACATCACGACCGACCTCACGGTACGGCGTGTTTATCACCTGAAGACCGGTATCATCCCCGCGCTGCGCGGATGAGAGCCGTTGCACGGATACACTTGATCGGCCTCTCATTGCCGACATCATTATATCATGACCGGCCTCTCGGCATGGCATGATTATCTTATTTGAAGACTGGGCTCGTCCCCGCACTGCGCGGATGAGGACCGTTGCTTGGATTTCAGGTCGGCCTATCATTGCCGACATCATTATATCATGACCGGCCTCTCGGCATGGCATGATTATCTTATTTGAAGACCGGGCTCATCCCCGCGATGCGTGGACGAGGACCATTGCTTGATTTTCTTTCAGGTCGGCCTCTCACTGCCGACACTATCATGTTATGTTCGGCCTCTAGGCACGACATATTTATCTTTTGAAGACCGGTTTCATCCCCGCGCTGCGTTGGATGAGAGCCGTTGCTCGGATATATCGGCCTGACCGGACACTATTGTCATCTCCATTATCAGGACCGACTGCTCAGCGACATTATGATCATTGTATATCGGCTCCCGATGCCGACCTTCTTGAGTTAGCGATCGGGCTCACCCCTCCCCCCAGGAGGGTGACCATCGCCTTCGCATGACGACCAGCATTTCCATCGCCTCGTCATCCACTTCATTTTGGTATCCCACCACCATTACGTGTGACATCACTTGTGGTCATTCTTGGAAACCGACGAACGTATTTTCCTCCCTCAAAAAAAAAAAGAAAGAAAAAAAAAAAAGATGGGGAGAAGGGGAGAGAGAAGCTCCTATGAGAGAGGGAGTCTTGACGAGGTATGCCTGATCTTCCTTCGCCGCGTATGACGAACGTCTCCCGACGCGGAGGCTAGTAGGAACGTGGGGGGGGCTAGACGTACCAAAGGGAACCTCGGCAAGATAAACCAGTTCCTCCCATTTCCCGTGGATTGATGAACACCTTCTGCAAAAGCAGAAGGCTAGTAGGGCCACGAGCATGGGACGACGAAGTAGGGAATCCCGACGTGGATACACCTGTTCCTCCTTGCGATCGTTGGTTGACCGAACGTCTTCTTCGAAGTAAGAAGATTAGTAGGACCGCGACAAGGACGAACGAAGAATAGGGAATCCCGACGTGGATACACCTGTTCCTCCTTGCGATCGTTGGTTGACCGAACGTCTTCTTCGAAGTAAGAAGATTAGTAGGACCGCGACAAGGACGAACGAAGAATAGGGAATCCCGACGTGGATACACCTGTTCCTCCTTGCGATCGTTGGTTGACCGAACGTCTTCTTCGAAGTAAGAAGATTAGTAGGACCGCGACAAGGACGAACGAAGAATAGGGAATCCCGACGTGGATACACCTGTTCCTCCTTGCGATCGTTGGTTGACCGAACGTCTTCTTCGAAGTAAGAAGATTAGTAGGACCGCGACAAGGACGAACAAAGAATAGGGAATCCCGACGTGGATAAACCTGTTTCTTCTCATAGTTGGGATGACGAACGTCTCCTGCGAAACCAGGAGACCAGTACTCACGAGACTTGGGAAGAACAAAGACCCAGTTCTTTATCGGAGTCTGTGCGTGCCGAGTGTACACTGCTTAGCGGTCCGTACATAGGACCACGGATACGGTAGACGAACGAAGACCAGCTTCATGGATCAGACACGAAGAACCAGTTCTTTATCGGAGTCTGTGCGTGTCGAGTGTACACCGCTTAGCGGTCCGTACATAGGACCACGGATACGGTAGACGAACGACGATTAGCTCCCCAGCTCAGACAGGAGGGACATTGCCCAGATTTATTTCAGGCTCACCATTCCTTCCCGGATGGAGTCCTGGCAGACGATCGGCTTCTCACAGCCAATCAGGAGAGAGACTTGACACATCACCAGCACGGCCGAGGGCCGCGAGAGGCCGAGGGCCATGAGATGATCATCACTATTTTTATGCATCACGATCGGCCCCTCAGCGCCATCGTGTCCAGATTCACGGTTCGGATCGCCCATTCCCTCCAGGATGGCGACGACCGTCTTATGCAGTACGATCGGCCCCTCAGCGCCATCGTACCCAGCTCACGTTCAGCTCGTCCATCCCTTCCAGGGTGGCGACGAACGTCTTATGCATCACGATCGGCCCCTCAGCGCCATCGTGTCCAGATTCACGGTTCGGATCGCCCATTCCCTCCAGGATGGCGACGACCGTCTTATGCAGTACGATCGGCCCCTCAGCGCCATCGTACCCAGCTCATGTTCAGCTCGTCCATCCCTTCCAGGGTGGCGACGAACGTCTTATGCATCACGATCGGCCCCTCAGCGCCATCGTGTCCTGATTCACAGTTCGGATCGCCCATTCCCTCCAGGATGGCGACGACCGTCTTATGCAGTACGATCGGCCCCTCAGCGCCATCATACCCAGCTCACGTTCAGCTCGTCCATCCCTTCCAGGGTGGCGACGAACGTCTTATGCATCACGATCGGCCCCTCAGCGCCATCGTGTCCTGATTCACGGTTCGGATCGCCCATTCCCTCCAGGATGGCGACGACCGTCTTATGCAGTACGATCGGCCCCTCAGCGCCATCGTACCCAGCTCACGTTCGGATCGCCCATTCCTTCCAGGGTGGCGACGAACGTCTTATGCAGCACGATCAGCGCCTCTGTGCCATCGTGTCTGGCTCATGTTCGGCTCGCCCATCCCTTCCAGGATGGCGACGAACATCTCTTATGCAGCACGATCAGCGCCTCTGTGCCATCGTGTCTGTCTCATGTTCGGCTCGCTCATCCCGTCCAGGATGGCGACGAACATCTCTTATGCAGCACGTCTGCCTCTCGGCGCTGACATGCCCGGGTAATCGATGAAAGCCACCGCTTTCCATCACATCTCACATTCCTTCTCCCATACATTGCACCCATACATTACATGCATTCATGCATTCATGCATCATACCTCATACATTCATACATACACATGAGCATCGTGTTTTGACAGTACCGCGACGTCGGTTTATAGATGCATGGACCTCTAAGCTTCTCCGATTGGAAAGCTCGGGTCAGAGTGCTTTACTCCCGCCTGATGCATTCAGGGGGAGTGTGTCCGTAGAGGAGCACCCTTCGCCCGAACCCGTCGAGAAGGGGGGGGGGGGGTGCCTTACGGCAGATTATGTTCAGGAGTGCAGACACCCACTCATATATTATGATTACTTGAAGACACAGGTTCCAGCCAGGCAGAGGCAGAGCGCAGGCAAGAATATACTTTCTCGAGCAGATTCGCGCACTCACTACTCAAGAAACTGGGGGACTTGTGTTGGGATATATTATCCCGGCCTATTACTGTTCAGGAGTCCAAGGCTTTACGTAGTACGGAGCCCGAGCAGCTAGGCCCATTTCGGCCCATCCGGCCCACTTAGGCCATTTGGGCCCACTCCGGCCCATGCGGCCCATTAGGGTGGAGAGCTTCCCTCACCCCTTTCCCTATTTATAGGAGGTTTTCCCTCCATGTAGAGGAGGCTTTTGCTTCTTCCTTTAGCTCTAGATTAGAGAATACTCCATAAATGGAGCTCAAAATGTACTATGTAATGGTGAGGAGAGTCCTAATGAGAAAGAGATGGCTTGGACATTAGCCTGAAAAGTCCCGTGGTTTTCTCCCTTTCCGGGTTTCCACGTAAAAATAGCTTGTTCATACACATTTATACATATATTTACTATATCGTGTTGGATTAAACTCAACAATTGGTTTCTAAACGATGACATTATATATATATCAGTAACATTATACTACATTATCATATAATGTCATTGATTTCTAAACAATGACTTGAATTTTAAACAATGACATTACTTCACATTGTCATATAAGAAAACTATTTTTATACAATGACATCATACTACATTGTCATTTAATAACATTGATGTTTAAACAATGTCATCATACTCCAGTCATTTATGGACATTCTTTTTTATACAATGACATTATATTATATTGTTAAATAATGACATTGACTTTTAAACAATGACATTATATTATGTTACCGTATAGAAACAATGACATATGTACATTGTTATTTTAATTCTAATGGTTCTTTATGTTAATAATAGTTTCTGGAATGATAGTGAGGCATAAAATATACTACGTACTACATAGCATTTATAAACATTACGACATTGTGAGTTTTTTATCTTATAAAACATGACATTGTTTGTACACTTTCACAATTGTGTATTGCATAGTTTCAGGATTCACTACCATCAACATTACAAAGATAAATGACTAATTAAATGAATCAAAGAAATAATAATTAAAAAATTAATAAACAAATTAAACAACACAATATACTGAAATCTTCCTAGATAACAAATCAACTCAAAGGTTAATAATTTGAAAATAAAATTAGATATATAGAACAAAAAGAAATAAAAGAAAAAACGAAACAAAAGCAAAATGAATCAAAAGCAAAACGAAACAAAAGTAAATGGATTCTACTGGGAAAAAAGCATTCAACGGAAATAGAATTTCACTCCAGCGAAAACCAAAAGCAGATCGGCGGAAGAAAGAAATCTAGGAGCGGAAGAAAGAAATCTGGGAGCGGATGAAAAGAAGATCGGCGGCAGATCAGAAAAGGAAGAAGAGCAGCACTGTAGCAGGAAACCTTTGGTGCTATGGAGGCAGATTATGCTCGCGAGTCTTAGAGATAATCCCAGATCAGAGCTTAGTCGGCAGTCGTTTCGCGTTAATAGTCGGGCAAACGCAGCGAACATGGGAGCCGGTCGCTTTTGTTAGCAGCTGCATTAGTAAGGGTATATTTGTCTCTCTGTTCAAATTTAGTCCTATTTAGCGTTTAAAAAGTATTAGGTCCTATTTATCTTCCGAGCCTTTGTTTTACTCTTATTTAGGTCTTTCTCCCGACTCCCATTAGGGCTCATGTTAAGAGGGAGTTTGACCATTCATATATTTACTCTAACAGTTTCACTAGCATTTCACATGTACGTTGCACGGAAACGATAATGAGTTGAATAAATAATAGACTCGCTTTCACCGTAGAAATGGGAATCAGCTTCGGCATCACTGGGCCCGGAAATGTGGTCGTTCAGAGACGTGGAGTCGACAAATGAGCTTGAATAGCAATAGCAACACCACCCTCTTCATCTGGATCTTCCTTCATACTATCGTAGTTCATAAGAATCGCAGGCACTCCGCTTCTGCATATCCAGTCACATACTCACATCAATAGCAACACCACCCTCTTCAAAAGCAATTGCGACTTTGTTTTTCTTACTCCCCCGGTTTTTATTTAATCTTCACACTTTGACTTCACACAAAATAAGGAAAGAAATTTGACTTTGCTGTAGAGTACATTGTTGAGGCACTGTTTGACACTGTTTGTCACTGTAGAGACACTGTTTGGCACTTTTGAGACACTATTTGGCACTGTTTTGATGTAGATTTCTTTGTCAAAAAAGGAAATAAGGAAGTGTGAAGTTTATTTTATACCGTCCCAAAAAGGAAAGTGTGAAGTTTACTAAAAACCGGAGGGAGTATCAATTTTAGCTTTCATATGTGAGGTTCTTAGGCTCAATCCACTTCCTCTCACTCATTCCTAGGGTGGTTCAGTACGGTATCCGAATATTTTCTCTTATACTTTTGCCGTACCAAAACTTTCGGCATACAAAATTTATATGCATTTACCGGTCTTACCAAAATTCCGGTATACCATATTTCGGTAACCGAGGTTTTGGTATACGGTACAGTATCGGTAATTATCATGCACATCTTTCAATACAACAAATTATGATAGACTAACGAAATATAAAAAAAATCGGTGATAGTAGCAACATACTTAATCCATTATTAAAATGTTACAAATACAAATAATAATCTATTGTTGTCATATTCATTATTGAACAATAATTACTATTAATATATTTAAGCAGTTCAACATGCCACATATTAAAAATGACACATTCTCCTAAAAATAATTTAAATAATAAAGATATAATTAAATTAATAGCGATCTCTAACAACAAAATATTTAGTCATTTTTATAATTTAAAAAAATACTACGTAATTGAATATAACTTTTGGTATAACGGTATACCGGTATAGTGGGCCTTTATTTTTGTATTTTGGTATATGTAACCAACCTAAGTACTCCCTCCGTTCTTTAATACTTGTCTCTCTTTCCATTTTGGGATGTTATCTATTAGTTGTCTCTCTTTCTATTTTTGGTAAGTTTTTTTAATAAATATACTCATTTACTCTCATTCTCTTTCCTACTTTTTCATTTAAACACAACCCACTACATCTTTTCCACTACCCCTATTATCTTTCTCTTAAAACTTGTGTCAAACCCTATAGGGACATCTAATAGAGAACGGAGGGAGTATTAATTTTGGGCATCAAAATTGTAATGGTCTTTTACAATATTTTAGAATTTATAGTAATTGTTAGGTAGGGAGTCGGTATGGTATTATACCGGTATACCGAATTATTTGAAAACCCATCTCGGCAATAGGAGCTTCGGAAGGCATTGGGTTAGTGGGAAATCCCGACTTTGCCCTTGTTGGAAGTGTAACCGTACGTTGCATAAGTAGTAAACGTGTTTCAAATCAAATATCAATGAACTAGATAAGTTTTCGAGAAGCCTATAGTAATTAATACTAGATTTTAGTGAGTACTCCCTTATTCTCAAAACTACTAGCATTTATTTTCTAGTTGGTATCACCGTTGATGTCCAAAAATGTTATGTAGTACTTTTTACACAAGTACCGGGTCTTATGACTTTTAAATTAGATATCGGCAACTTCTTTCCAGTAAATCTTGCTCTTTAGATGTCATGGAGCAACACCATTAAATAATTTTCTTACATTCTACGTAGTATGATAAAATTAAAAAAATAAAACATCTCTTACACGGGTTAAAAATAAGACTGCATGTGTTAAAATTCGCTAAATACACATTTGTTTTAATGCTATCTCAAATTAGTGTTCACCTTTCTAATTAATGATATTTTGAATGGGAATCGATTTTTGATCTAATCTACAAAGTTATTTTTACCTTAATGTATGAATTAAATATGAAAATAAATCTTAATATATTTTTACCAAGAGTTTGATATCTCTGAAAGCTTTATTAATTACATATATACCAATTATATCATGATACTAAAAGTGGTGTTTAACAGTTAGATAAATAAGTTAGGTTGTGTATAAAGGATAATTCTTTTACTCATGGATGTAACTTTAATATAGTACGATTTGGTTATAAAATTGAAATCATTTTTGTTTATTAATACGGGGCATCTTTATTTTTTATTTTTATTGCATATTTTTACCTGTTTATATTTCCGTTATTACGTACTACTTGACGTGAGAAACTCTTTATAAATTTAATTTAGTTGACCTTCTAGGTAAAAATCGCCTACTAAGACTTTAAATCATTTGCTACCTTAGATTTCTTCGTTCAATAATACGTATTTTAAATCAATCTAATGAAAAATAAATCGAACACTATTATTTGCGTTATGCAGTTGGTCTGTTGTCACCGCTATCACCTTTATTAAAATTAGAATATTACAAAAATATATATTTTGGACTCCTTTCTTAAAGAAGGAGATAAAATGACAAATTTGCTCAATTTCAAGAATGGACGCGCTCATTATTAAATAAATAAATAACAAAAATGTATAGTTGTTAAATTTGAAAAAATATTAAACTACAGATGAAATCTAATTGATAGAAATAGGCTTTGGGCAATTTTTTTTATAGATAAATTAAAGATGGTTGAAAAGACGAGGTTCATTTGGATGCAACAAGAGATATAAAATAATTGACTCTTTTGATTGGATAATATAGATTGAAAACATGTTTAGATGATTAGTTAAAAAATAAGACATACTTAATAAATAAGAATATACATCATCAATGTTATAATCGACTAAATAAGTAACTGCCGTTAGCTCTAATAACTCATACATATACGAGTGCATGTACACACATATAGTAAAATTAAAATAAAAGGGAAATTATGTTATGCAAAACTAAAAATGTTTATATATATATTCGAAAAAATGATTATCATGTTTTATTCCTAAAACAGGAGTAATTATTGTCATGTTTTGGCAGTACCAATCTTTGAAAATGACAGTATTTTAAAGAATGACAGTAATTACTCTTATTTTAGAAATAAAAACATGACAGTTCTATCTTATCCTGTGCACGACACGGGTAAGGATACTAGTATAAGTATAAATCTCTTTACTAAATATAATACTTAACTAGTGACTTCACATATTAATTGTGTAACAATCAAAACCATTTAGAGGCCGGCCTTTAACAAAATTGGAATTGGCTTAACCGCATGATTATGCAAATATTGATTAAATTTTACTGAAATGTCAGAATTGGTTGAATTTACTGAATTATATAAAAATTATATTTTTTTATCATTAAAACATGCCTCTACTCATATAAAAAATTATATAAATAAGAATTATATAAAGAAAAATTATGCCTCTATTCTATACAAAAATTATATTTAAAACACATTTTATCAATAATATAAAGAAAATTTTTTATGAAACATATAACTCACGCGGAATATATATAAACTCAACAACTTCAGAAATATAACTTCAACCTTGCTTATTTTAATTATTAAACATTTCATCGCACGAAATAAAATTCACACATTTGGGAAAAAAGTTGAGT